CAATACAGTAAAAACAGTAATATTGTGAAATATCATTAAAATTTAAAATAACCATTTTCTATTTTAAAATGTTATTTATTCCTGTGATGCAAAGCTGACTTTTCTGCAGCCATTACTTCAGTCTTCAGTGTCATATGATCCTTCAGAAATCATTTTTCTGATTCATGAATAGAAATGACTAAAGAACAGCATTAGTATTAACTATCACATTTGATCAAATGAATGCATCATTGTTATTAAAGTAGTAATTAAAAATAATAGTAGTGTATATAAATTATAATTATATCAATTATATAAAAACATATAGAAATAACACGATTTAACAAAAACGAGGGAGTAAATTAGTACAACATGGCCACGATTTAGCTAAAACAAATTCGTTTAACATGCCCATTAATTAACTAAACAAAATGATGAATTGGTATATCTTGGCCACGACTTGACTAAAATGAGGAAACTAATTAGTGCAAACATGCTCACAAATTAATGTAAACACTAAAATAGGTGTTCAGTCTAACAGCCCTAGACTCGGTAAATGGCAAAAAATAAAAAAAACAATCTGAAAGTGAACCTGTTAGCTAATCCGGAAAAACATAGAGACGGAGCAGGACTACCTGTTTGTTTAAACAATGGGCACTTTTCACACTTCCAAGTTCTCAGAACTTAGTACTCAGTACTCGGAAGTGAAAGTCACCAGTAAACTGTCAGTACCAATGCGTTCACCCTCCTTAGTGGTCATTCGGAATGCACTTTTATGCTATCTTTCCATAAAAATAATAGTAGTGTATATAAATTATAATTATATCAATTATATAAAAACATATAGAAATAAAGAAAATTACATAGCTAAAATATATGGATATTATGTGGCTGATAGGCGAAGGAGGCAGCTCACAGTGTGGACACACAGCTGGTGGTTGTGGCGTGTGGCTCATACCGCAGGGGGAAGAGCACATGTGGAGATGTGGACATCCTCATCACTCACCCTGATGGAGAATCGCATAAGGGTGTTTTCAGCAAAGTGTTGCACCTCCTCCATCAGAATGGTATGCTGTTATATCACAGAAAAGTTTAGACTAATTTGGATTTATGATTTAATAAACCCACAGTTATCACTTTTGTTTATTATTATTTTATGTTCATGATATTATTTGTATTTTTCCATCCAGGTTTCCTGACAGATGACCTTGTTAGCCATGTTAGACATCATTGTAGTGCCCTATGCTGAATTTGCATGTGCTCTTCTGTACTTCACTGGCTCCGCCCACTTCAACCGATCAATGAGGGCATTGGCTAAGACCAAACACATGAGCCTATCAGAGCACTCGCTGAACTGTGCAGTGGTGCGGCAGCGTGGTGTGAAGCTGGTGGCGGGAACTCCTTTACACACACCGACGGAGTAGGATGTCTTCAAACACCTCGGCAAAACAATCTGAAAGTGAACCTGTTAGCTAATCCGGAAAAACATAGAGACGGAGCAGGACTACCTGTTTGTTTAAACAATGGGCACTTTTCACACTTCCAAGTTCTCAGAACTTAGTACTCAGTACTCGGAAGTGAAAGTCACCAGTAAACTGTCAGTACCAATGCGTTCACCCTCCTTAGTGGTCATTCGGAATGCACTTTTATGCTATCTTTCCAAGCCTAGATGGGAAATGTTTGGGAAACTTTTTTTTTTTTTTGCTACTAATGGTGCAGAACATTTATACAGCAGCTTTAAACTCTGTGGAACATATTCAGTAATATTAAGCAACAACCACAATATTTTACAAGTTTAAACGGATGATTTGATTTCTTTTACTATCAAAGGGATTTCGCACATTGGAGGATATACGCACTAAGGTGGTTTTGAATCACACTCTAAGGATCGGACTAAAACACTACGATGACCTCCTTGAGCGGATGCCGAGAAGTGAAGCAAATGCCATCGAGAAAACGATTTGTACAGACCTTATTTGAAATGGCCTGCAGTAAAGAAAATAGCCATAACCAAGCAATTAAACAGGGATTTTATTTGTTTTTACCATCCATAACAACATCGTCCGGTTGTGAAGAACAAGAATGTATCTACTTGATTTTCAGAGCAGTAAATAATACAACTGAATTTCTAAAAGACAAGCAATCAAAAAAAACGAAAACTATTTTGTGTTGGCGGCAGCAAAACTGTCAATCTTCCTTGGTTAGCTAATGGACATAACAGAGATTGTTAGTGAGTCTGTCGTTCCATAGGAAGAGAGGGAGCTCTTGAAAGCTGGCGTTTCAAGATAAGGAGAAAGATTGATTCACTTAAGATTCGTTCAAAACACAAACAACATTTGAATGCTGATTAAAGAAGAGAATTACATTATATGATACGATCTTCACTGATGAGTTGGTGTTTCGAATCATAGTCGGCACCGAGTCTTTTTCGTGAACGAATGTGTTGTTCACAAATAATAAATAAATTTAATTAAATGGGGAGTCTGGGGACATCACATCATTAGTCTGTATTGATGACTTCCTGTAGTCTTTTTTAAACCAAGACAAAAAAAACGAAAACTATTTTGTGTTGGCGGCAGCAAAACTGTCAATCTTCCTTGGTTAGCTAATGGACATAACAGAGATTGTTAGTGAGTCTGTCGTTCCATAGGAAGAGAGGGAGCTCTTGAAAGCTGGCGTTTCATAAGTCAGAAGCTACTGAGCTCCCTTACAGAGTCTTGGGCCCAAGCCACTTGTTTTCTTACTATTACTTGGAACATCCCACTGTTTTCCTCTTAACAGACCTGATAGGTAAAAAGGGTAGATGAAGAAGATGAGTGCAACATGTGCTCTCCAAGCTTGACAGGAATGATATGTAGAGCATGTAAACTTATTACCTTCAGCATTTAAATTACTGGAGTGCTAGGTATAAATTAGTGTTTAAAAAAAAAATTTACATTCAGAACACAACTTAAAAAATTAACTAATAAATGCACTGCTTTTTTTCAACTAAAGAGGATACAAGATTATATATATATATATACTTGCGCCATAGCTCGTGACCGGAAGAGAAGATGAGTCGTTTTGAGGGGGAGGGGAGGTTAACGTTTTTGACTAAAGATTACAAGGTCACATGAATAAAAAAATAATAATTTAGTGCACGGATAAATTATTTATAATAAACACTACATATTCCATTAAAAAATAAGAATTTTCAAATTTGATTACATGCCGACTTTAAACACTCTAGTAGGTTTAATTTGATCATCATGACTCTAAGGAATCGATTGAGTTGAATTGTAAATTATTCACTCACAACACAAAAACACTCTCACCTATTTTATTTTTGTTCTTACACTAAACATGTCTGGCTTCAAATCCGTACAACTGCAGCAGTGGAGGACTATTATTCTGCTGCGTGATACTGCAGAAGAACTGATGATGGCACGGTTTGATCTTCGGCTGAGGGCAGAAAGGGGCGTTTAATTCCCGCCCACATGTAGAAATCGAATATTCAAGCTGTTTATTCATTTTTCCACCCATGAACGAAAAACGAAAATTTAAGCTGAATTCTCGTTTTTAATTTTTTGGAAAAAAAACAAAAAAACGAAAAAGGAGCCGTTTTCTCATTTTTCTACTTTCAATATTAAATCAAAAAACGAATGATCGAATGATACACGGATTGGTCAACGTCTAAGTAAGTGAATCTTTTTCGTAAACTTAATTCAAATGAGTCGAGTCACTGAGATCATTCAAACCCCCAGTACTGCTTTAAACGCTCCCTCTATGGGCGGATCTAAGCACAGTTTGTCCCATCATCACGTTGCGCGCATGGCGTAGGATGTGACTGCGCCACACCCAGCTGTGCCTGAAGTGCAGTTCGCAGGGACTCGCTTGTGTAATGTGTACAGTGTTGCCAATTTGGGGATTTTGTCGCCAAATTTAGCTACTTTCTCATTGTAGCTGCGACTTTTTTAAATTTTTTGCGACAAGGAGCTATTTTAGCTATATTTAAATAAAATACTTTCCTTTACCAAATTTACCTGTATTTACTTTGTTTTCATGTTTAGCGACTTTTTGTGAAAAATTGAGACTTTTGAGGGTGGTTCTAGCGATTTTCTGAGGGAGGGGTTTGGCAACACTGATTGTGTAATAGTTGGGGGCAACCAGTGGCACGGAGCGCATGCTGCTGCTCACTTTATTATTTTGCATATATATGTGGCATTATATTGACTCCATACTGCTGCGCCTCCCCTCATGTCCCAATAACAGCAGAAGGCGGGCGATGCATGAGCGAGAGCCTTTCACGCTTTCGTACGATTATTTACAACTCTTTCGCTGTGACCAAAGTAAACACTGAGACATTGTAATGTCCTATAAGCCTGTTTAAAATGGGTTTGTTTTTATATATCGCTGGATCTGCCAACCCCACCGAGGCCGGTGTCTATGAGGTGAGAGAAGTCTTGCATGTCTCGTTCAGCTTGTCTTGTGCCTGTTGTTTGTGTCAAACTTGGGCAGTGAATGCACGCTGCAGGCTCTGCCACTTGTTGACTATAGCCGATTGAACAGTATGCAGTCTATGCACCTTTTATCCACAGTTTGTAGCGCATGTTAACAGTCTGTGGTTCTTAACAGCGTTCGACCAACGTTTTGTTTCTTTTGCAATCTGATACATCTGTTTGTTACAAGTCTTGCGTGCTAACCGATAGCCGTGCGTCAGGTCACGGAAGTGTAGGGCTGTGTCTCAAATCGTAGTTGGCTGCTTACTTGACAGCATTTTTGGGCAAAACTTGATGGCCAAAATGCTGTCTAGGTAGACCCCTCCCTAGGTTTTGAGACACTGCCTAAGAGTAAATCTGGGCCAACTTCAGTAAACAAAAGTCTACAGTGTTAGCAGTGGCTAGCAAACCAACTGTCGCAGATTTCGAGATTAAATAGGCTAATTTTAAACTAGAATACACTATCACCAGTTGTGTTGTGAATATAAATAAATCAGTATGAGCACATATAATAACAATATAAGTTCAACATATCTGGTGATTCAACAATTAATTTGAAGCAGTCATTTATCTACCAACGTAAATACGTCTATCACAGGTATGATGTCTTTCTGCTTTACAAAGGTCAATGGATTTTGTTATCACTGGTGAAGATAGTGCTGACCTCTTTGTCTGTATTCAAAGAAGTGAATTCATCATTTGACTGTGCCAAGTGGTTTTTATTTAAATTTTTCTGATTGGCCTTTGAGTGATCTTTTTTTAATCAGAGTTAGCAGGCTTTTTTCTGTTACAGCAAACTGAAATTTGAGCCATACTCTGTTTTATTCAAATATATGAAATTATATATTTTGATAGTAGCAAGGTGTCTAGAGCAGTTTCTTTCCCATTTAGTACAAATAGTTATTATTATTATTATTATTGAAATAATTTTTCTGCATGTTGTGATGTACCGTATTTCACATTTTATAGAGAATATTATTACAATATAGCTTAGTACAATTTATTAATAGAATATTAATATATAGAATAATAGTACAATATAGCTTGAATAGTTACATAAACTAATATGACTGCACTGTGTATAGAGTTACTGGTGCTTTTTTCATCTACTGGTCCTGAGATCAAATTGTAATATTATTCTTTTTATTGGATGTAATAGAAGTTCAAAAAGAATCATACAATGCTAGGACACTTTTAGTAAATGATGATATTGTCGGTTTGAAGTTCTTGTTGGGTTGCTGAGGTCAATGATCCTTTTTGTCTTTTAAGTTTTGTCAAGTTGTTTTTCATTGCTTGTTGGGTTTAATTGTCAGTCATGGGATTTCGTCAGTGCATACAGTAAATGCAAAGTCGAGAAAAAGTGATCGACTGGCACGTGGCTGGGTCTGTGCAGGAGAGAAAAATACACCAACAAAAAACTTTATAGTGAAAGATGCTTTTATTCCCCCTAGCTGGTTTATAAAATGGTAGAACAAAATTGGCTTTCACAAGAAGTGGTGGGTACATTTTTTACTATTAGGACTTGTCTGACTCAGCATATAGAATTGCTGTGGTTATGCTATTCGGTTCCTTGAAACTCGATGGGCTATTGACATTTAATCATATTGAAGTGTGGTAGTATAGAAACATGGCACAAAACCTGTAAATCGCTCACAAGATAATGACAGTACTGAAGTAGGTTAACTACAGACTGTAGTTCTATCAGACGACCACATAACCTGAAGATTCAGAGAAGAACACAAATGACTCGGTGATAAACTAGCTTAAAGCCAGATGAAACAGCGCTGGCAAACAGGAGAAACACTGTGCGCAACGATGCAGTCAGAAGGCTTTTCAATCTACAAATCACCATCATTTACCATGAATTTACTATAGTAACTCTAACTGCACCATGGTATTGTAGCAGAAATGTGGGATATTCATATTGAATTTTATTAAATCATTACCACAGACTTGTATTAAATGTATTAGGGGAGTAATGGAATATAATTACAGTATTTTTGTGGTTAAGCGATAATGTTTGTGAAAAATGAGCTTGTTACAATTTTTACAGATGTTAGTTTTTTTGATAATAAACATACATTTACATCTGCATCCTAACTCAAGCTGCTAGTACTGTCAAATGCGCATTTCTAAGAGAGAGAGAGAGAGAAAAAAAAAGTAATATTTTTAATATTGCAGCCTGCACTGCAAACTGCTGAAGATACGCGTCATCAAAGTCAGGCAACACAAACCTGTTTCATGATTTGAAACAATATCACTCATTAAAACATGCAGATACTAAGAAATTAATTTTTCTATTAAGATATTTATTTTGTTAAAGAAAAATGACTGGAAAAGTGTACAGAATTCAAAAACGTGAAGTATTTGTCATGTTCTGGCCATAAAGAATTTAGTTTGTTGGGGTTTTCCCTCTTTTCCTCGCTTTCTTTCGCTTTTAAATAGCTTCTAAATGCCCATGCGCATTTTACTTTCACTTTTAACAAATATTAAAGCTTAAATAAAGTAAAATATATTGCCAAAAAGGTGGTTTTGCATTTCGTTTTGAAACTAAATCTTTCGCCATCGTCTTGTCTGTCTCACCTCACTCTTCTTGTCAGTCAACTCGACTCACTTTCCTCACATGATAAATGAAATCTGACTCCTGCTGCTGCTGCTGATCTGTGATGGGACTGTCGTTTGGCACGCTGCATACCACCTAGCAGTGCATTACAATAGTCCATTGAGCAGCCGCGTTCAGTTTTTAATTGTAGTGTCTGTTCTCCAACTGAACTAAATGATTTTTATTACTATAAAAAATTTAAAAAGACTTGCGTAACACCGGTAACACCGACTATCGCAACAAGCCTACTTTAAACTTGAAAGGAATAAAAATGTGAAATTATTGTTATCGACTGATAATGAAAAATTGTATCATGATAATTTTTTGGTCATATCGCCCAGCCCTAGTAGCAAGTTAAAGAGAATTCTGCTGAGTGTATTGTGTAATACCGTATATGCTTTGTGGTCAGTTCCTCATTAAAGACTCTTGCGTTTTAGCTGACTCAGTGTTAGCATTCATCTCTTGTGTTATTTAAGATATTTGGCATTGCTGAAGAGAATGAAAGCTAGGATTAATATTGCACACCAGTGGCCAAGTCAATCAACTGCTTTAAGTGGCCGTAGCCAGTTCAATTACAGGATTATCATATAATACCAGATCATATGCTGTTGCTGATACTCCACTTCTCACTAAGACTGTGGAAAACAATGTTGGCTAGTCAAGTAGCGTTATTAGACTGGCCAACATTATCTGCTGCTTTCAGCAGCTTCTCATTATAACCTGTTAAACTTCAATTACTTTTCAAATATAATGTTTTCTGGCACTGAAACCGGATATGGACAGAGTCTCCAGAGCTGCAAAGAATTAGTTCAATCTGCCATGGTCTACATGCTTCTCTCACATGTTACTCACATGCTTTTGGACAATAAAAAAAAAAAAAAATCACTCATAAAAACCAAGTGCCATTTATTTGTAAGAAGGCACATTTTTCAGGGAAAACAATAATAATAAAAAAAAGTTCAACCAAGTAGATGTACTTCCTGGATAACAAACTATGTGTTCATGTAGTTATTGTGATAAACTCCACTCTTCAAAATAAAGGTATTGGCATTGATGGTTCCACGAAGAACATTTTAACATCAGTGGACCCTTTATATTGGACAAAAGGTTCTTTATAGTGGAAAAAGGTTCTTCAGATTATTAATTCACATGCACTGAGAAAAAAAAAAGGTTCTTTTAAAAATGATTCACTGAAAGGTTGGAGAACCAAAACTGGTTCTTCTGTGGCATCAGTGTGAAAATGCACTTTTGAAAACTTTGTTTTTAAGAGTGTCTGTGTGGTTACTCTGCTAGGACACTTGTGTGAACTTGAGACTCCATACATCGACTTAAAATGACCTTGACACCATTTGGTTGAGAGTAATCGCAAAAATGGGTCAGCAAAGCAGAATTCATTCTGAGAAAAAGTCTTGCGTCATTTGTTGTTTGCAGTTTCCACATGGCTTGATATTTAGTATTCAATGGAATGTGATTCATTGTGTGCAGCTTAAATGTCCAAATACTTTTTTGGGTCACTGTGTGTTTAATAATAACCAGAAACAGTATGTCCAGTTTCATATTGCAGAATCAGCATTGGTTAATTGCAGATATTTGTGGTTAGTGATAAATGAGACACGCAAAGTGCTGTGACAGTCCTTGAAAAGCAGAGGAGGACAAAGTACTCAACTCCATTACTTAAGTGAAAGTACAGATACTGCTGGTCAAATATTACTCCATTACAAGTAAAAGTTGTAAAGACAGATTTTTACTCAAGTAAAAGTACAGAAGTACTTGCTTTTAAGAGTACCTAAGTACCAAAAGTAAATTTCCTTTTTTATGTCAATGCACTGTTTTATTATTGTTGTATGTAATACAGTGCCTTGCGAAAGTATTCATACCCCTTCATTTTCCCCCACGTTTTTTGTTATGTTGCTACCTTATGATAAACTGCTTTAAAGTACTTTTTTCCCACATCAATCTACACTCCATACACCATATTGACAAAGCAAAAACCTCAACTTCATAAATTTTATTAAAAATAAAAAAAACTGAAATAAGTACATTGCATAAGTATTAACTAAATATTTAGTGGAAGCACCTTTACAGCCTCAAGTATATTTTTGTTTGATGCGACAAGCTTTGCACATCAGCATTTGGCAATTATCTGCCATTCTTCACCTCATCTCTTCACCTCTCAACTCAAGCTCTGTCAGGTTGGATGGGGGCAGATGCACATTTTCAGGTTTCTCCAGAAATATTTGATTGGGCCCAAGCCCAGGATGGGGCTGGACCACTCAAGGACATTGACAAGGACATTGAGTCGTCTATAAGCCACTCTTGCTGTGTGCATAGGATCATTGTCCTGTTGGAAGGTGAGCCCTTCTGCCCAGTCTGAGGTTCTGAATGCTCTGGACTGGGTTTTCATTAAGGCTATCTCAATAGTTTGGTGCACTGAGCTTGTCTTCTACTCTGACGAGTCCCTCAGTCCCTGCCGCTGAAAAACAGCCCCTCAGCATGAGGCTGCTACCACCACACTTTACTTTTGGGATGGTACTCTGCAGGTGATGAGCAGTGCCTGGTTTCCTTCAAACGTGATGCTTGGAATTAAGGTTCTTTCCAAATCATACCCATTCAATTGAATTTGCCACAGGTTAACTTCACTCGAAGGGTAGTAACATCTACAAGCAATATGAATGCTCCTGAGCTAAATGTCAACTGTCCCAGATAAGGGTATGCATACTTATGCGATGGAATCATTTAACTTTTTTGTTTTTATTAAATTGGCAAATATGTTAAAAACCTGTTTTTTGCTTTACCATTATGGTGTATGGAGTGTAGATTGATGTGGAAAAAAAGTAATTTAAAGTAGTTTAACATAAGGCAGCAACAAAGCGTGAAAAAAATGAAGGGGTATGAATACTTTCGCAAGGCACTGTACTTGCAATACCTCTGAAGCAACTTACAACTTACAGCAACTTACACCTACTGACAATCACAAGTATGATGATGATCGGGTCAGTCGCACTGGTGCTCCTAAAAAAATGTTCATAGTCGCACGCAGTAGTTTTCAGTCGCAAATGCGACTGAAATGGTCGCACTGTAGAGCCCTGATATAAGTAACGTTACCTAGTAGTATAGACGAAACCAAAATTTTCTTTGGTTTTTATTCGTCAACAATATTGCATTATACATTTAATTATAGTCATCGTCACATGACCAGCATTTACGTTGCGTCTCGTCTCGTTTTCGCCACGTGATAAAGGTTAGTTGACGACGATATTTAGTCATAATTTTCGTTGACGAAAGCAACACTACTTGATAGAAATGTAGTGGAGTGAAAAGTAAAACATTTGTCTTTCAAATGTAGTGAAGTTAAAGTCATACGTTTCCAGAAAAAATAATACTGAAGTAAAGTACAGATACTCAAAAAGTGTACTTAAGTACAATACTCAAGTAAATGTACTTAGTTACTGTCCACCTCTGTTGAAAAGAATGTTCTTGACTTGCTCAGCAGAATGGAGACATTTCTGGAATTCTATTTGGTCTTGAGTTTATGGTGGACAGCTTGGTAATGGCTGTAATGTGTAGTAAAAACTGGCAGCTGTGGTTGCTAGAAAATCTGTCGTAAAACAATATTTTAGCAGTGTTTCAGGCATTATGGAAATACATTTTTGGTGCCTATATTTTATAGTCAATTTAACAGCCTACATGAACTACTTAAATACTTTTAAAGTACTGATACATCGTTATGATATAAGATGTAAAACAGATGGTCATGCTGATTTAAAGTTTATCAAATTTGTGACTTTAAACAATGTGAACTGACATATTCATTAACCAATGTTACTCATACATCACTAATTTAATGCAATATGTGACAAAATAGCCTAATGCACATTTCAAAAATAAAAACTATAGCTAATAACTATTTACATATAATGATTTCATTGTTTTGTTAAATGTATAAATCGAATTTATATATGAATGTACTAGTTTCACCATAAATTCTATGGAATTTAACTGCCAAAAACCATATTTACAATCAATTTTAAAATCTATTTTTAAAATTAAATCTAATATACACACACTTATTTTTCAATATATTTCATAAAATATTTCATTAAGTTATCAGGTTTTACTAGGGATTTCATTCAGTTATCAGGTTTTACTAGGGATATTCTTGTCTTGCATTATGATCATTGTACAAGTGTTCCCTTAATCAGCTTTAGCCAATATTGACATATTTATTAAAACCAGCTAAATCAATAGGCAGTGCAGGACCAGAAAGTACTAACTCAATAACCTATTATAAATATAATTCCTCAAATAAATGTTAGTCAAGCAAGTATTGTACAAGGTATTGTTGTTTGTTACCACAGCACCAGCTTTGTGTGTTTGGGTTTCAACGCACTTTTTGTGTATGAACAGTATACCTTTCACAAAATTGGCAATGTCACATGAAAAGCTTGATGTATATCGGCAACTAAACGTTATTTAATGGTATTTATTCTGTTTGTTAGGATATTGACATAGCAAGATTATCATATATTGTCCCTCGTAACAAGTAGTATAAGCATATTTAATTGTTATGCCAATTTGAAATAGCCTGCACAAAACTTTTTTTTCGTCTTAAAATTCTCCCTCACCTTGCTTGTCTAGTACTGAGTGGACATTTCTCTGAACCCACCATGAGTGACACGGAGAAAAACTTTTTTTCCCAAGATAATGTATTTTTTTTTATGTAACATGAGTGGTTTTAATGTAGTCTTCGTAAAACATATAACAATTTATTATTTTTATTTAAGTTTTAGTTTAGTTATTTTAGTACATCAAGTTAAACTAAATGGAAATGAGAAATGTTGCCTTGGAGACTAGATGAAATAAAATATAAAATAATAATAAAATATAAAAAACTTAAACTTATTTTATTATTTCAGTGAACATTTATTTCAAGTAATGAAAATTGTTTTTTCCCCCCTTAGTTTATCCCTATTTTTTATTATAGCAGCCCTTTACATTTATTTATTTTTTACATTTTTAGGCAGACTAGACGGCAAAAAAGTGAAGGAAGTTTGGGTGTGTTATAGGATCTCACAAACTAGGACAGAACAAAACAGTGTATGACACTGGGCGATGTTCTTATACCTCTTCGTTCTATTTTGAGCTGTCTCCTCCCATATTGAAGGAGCATCTCATTATAATGCAGCCCTTCTTATGCTCTGCTGCCTGTAGTTTTCTGTAGACCACCAGTCCCTGGCCCTTGAGTGAAGTGTGTGTGTTTGTGCGTGCGTGTGTTTGTGCGTGCCCCTGTTCTTCTCCTGTATCATGACTGTTGCGCTGAACGGACTTTCACAAGGCTGAAGGACTGTGGAGTTTCATGTCTATACTGCACCTGAAGACAAGAATGGTAGATAACTGGATCACCTAACTTTCTTATTTATTCATTAACTGATTCATGAAATGAAACTAACATGCCTTTTTGAAGGTGTCTGCTTGTTTTGTTCTGATCTACCTGTATGGTAACTGGGTGTGCTTAATGTGTAACTGGATTTGCTTTAGAAAGAGAAAGAAAGCTAATTGAAAAGGTTAAGTTGTTAGATTTCACTGTACACAACATTGACAGTGTGACACTATCAAATAAATTAGATGTTCAGGCAGCTTTTGTTCTTTTATGTTTGGATTTGACATGGAACAAGAGTTTTCGGATTTAGGAGCCAGTGCTTTGTTCAGTGACATTGTGCTTTCCCTAAACATCAAGAGGTGCGAAGATATTTGTAAAATAGTATGTTTTTATCTTGAATAATGTGTCTAAAACCCTTTTTTGAAAATAATGATTAAGGTATTTATATGTATTTAAGGTGTAGGGAAAATGTTTTTTAAATTGATACTCCACATGACATTTTTTGTGAATGGTATAAAAAAATGTTCTGATACAACAAACTAGGTTTCATTAAATTTTTCTTAATTTCTGGACATTCTTATTTGTCATTGACCAGCTCTTCTGGTATAATGTTTGATTCAGGGTTTTACCTGACAAATTTGTTGCTTTATTTCACACAGATGATTAACCTATTTACTGTAAACACAAATTGCACCCAAATATGGCATTGCGTTTGTGTGTGAATAGTTTATCACTGCTTAAAATGAGCTGAACTGATTCATTATTTTATTTGTAAACAGTTGCATGTACTTTGGTGGTAAAATAGTACAGTGATAGTATAAGCTGTAAATACAGTGGAAGTGAATGTTTATATACCATGGTACATATCTTGTCGCTTAATAATAACCATATAGGCATAAGGTATAAGTTGTTTCACACATAATATTACCATAACATTTATCCAAATATTTTCTATTTTTAAGAAAAAAAATCTTATTAGTTTAAGGGATAGTTCCCCCAAAAATGGAAATTTGATGACAATTTACTTTTTTTACCCTTAGGCCATCCAAGCTGTAGATGTGTTTGTTTCTTCATGGGAACGGGTTTGGAGAAATTTAGCATTACGTCACTTGCTCAGCAATGGTTCCTCTGCAGAGAGAAAGCGATATTATGGATGGAGGACTCGTATTTTTATTATTTTAGCTGGAAGCAATGGTTTGAAGTTAAAAATGTCTCCATAATGGATTTGTTTCTATACAAACACACAGTTTTTTACATCTTTTCACGTTAATTGATGGACTGGAGTCGTGTGGATTATTGTGAGGTTTTTATCAGCTGTTTGGACTCTCATTCTGACGGCACCCATTCACTGCAGAGGATCCATTGGTGAGCAAGTGATGCAATGCTGCATTTCTCCAAATCTGTTCACATGAAGAAACAAACTCATCTACATCTCGGATGGCCTGAGGGTGAGTACATTTTCAGCAAATATTCATTTTAGGGTGAACTATTGCTTTAAGATTAGCTGTTCTAGAGATAATTGTTGAATCCACAAGACATTTATCTTGTATCCTGCTTTTTTATTTTATTTTATTTGTTTGTTTTCCCCAGCAGGTACTTCACTGTGAGGGTGTGAATAATAAAAGCTACGTGTGTGAGACAGGACACTGTTGTGGAGAGTCCCAGTGCTGTAGCTACTACTATGAACTCTGGTGTAAGTGCATCATTGTGTTTAATCAGGGTCACAATGTTTGATAGGAATTCATAAAGGCTCGGTCACATTTACCCTAGAATGGCAAAGGAGGCACCGTGTGATACAGGAATGATGATGAACTTACAGGAATGATGATGAACCAAAAATTCAATAAACTTGAATCAAACGTGACATTTCTTCAATATCAGGTGCATTTCCTGATTGTGCTGATTGCCATTGAGATGACTTTATTTTGCCTGTGAAATTTTGCTGTGCAGGAATAAATGAGACCAAGCCTTAAAGTGCCCCTATTATGCCTTTTCGAATATTACCTTTCATGCAGTGTCATGTAGCTGTATGTGAACATAAACTATCTGCAAAGTTGTGAAGCCGACAGTGCACAATAAATAAAGTTATTGTCTATCAAAAAAAAAAAAAAAGAGTCGGCTCGCAATCGCCTAAACGAGTCGTCAGGAATTCGAATCTTATTCTGTTATGGCTCTACGTCACGAAGTAACACATTTGCATAATGTCTGCCCACGTTCTACGTCGCCAACTTGCCTGCCCACAAACGGTAAAATTTCCATGTGGTTAACATCATGTCGAGAAGATGCTGTATCCTACGCTGTGAGAGTAGCTTTGTTTTATCACATCTTATAATTACCACAAACTTGTTAACACTTACCACTGAGTAGACACTTACCACTGAGAAACGTCCTGCTCCAGTCGTGCTTGCGAATTAATCTCTTGTCGATCAGCTTCTGATCCATCTCTCAACGGCTCTGGACCAATCACAAAGGACTGCGCCATCTGACCAATCACACTACTATGAACTCTGGTGTAAGTGCATCATTGTGTTTAATCAGGGTCACAATGTTTGATAGGAATTCATAAAGGCTCGGTCACATTTACCCTAGAATGGCAAAGGAGGCACCGTGTGATACAGGAATGATGATGAACTTACAGGAATGATGATGAACCAAAAATTCAATAAACTTGAATCAAACGTGACATTTCTTCAATATCAGGTGCATTTCCTGATTGTGCTGATTGCCATTGAGATGACTTTATTTTGCCTGTGAAATTTTGCTGTGCAGGAATAAATGAGACCAAGCCTTAAAGTGCCCCTATTATGCCTTTTCGAATATTACCTTTCATGCAGTGTCATGTAGCTGTATGTGAACATAAACTATCTGCAAAGTTGTGAAGCCGACAGTGCACAATAAATAAAGTTATTGTCTATCAAAAAAAGAGTCGGCTCGCAATCGCCTAAACGAGTCGTCAGGAATTCGAATCTTATTCTGTTA